TTCTCTGGGTTCCCCACTTCACAGCTTCTTCCACACAGCCTGCCATCTGCTGAGGGGACTCTCCCTCCAGTGGCCCCCTGGTCCCTGGCTTTCCTCAGCCGACACTTCCCTCTGACCGATCACTCGGTTTACCTCCAGCTCATAAAGGGGGGCACTGAGTCCCAGGAGCAGCATGGAGACTAAGGCCATGGCAGAAAGGATCACAGTGGACTCTTCGCTGTGGCTACCAGGGAACTCAAGTCAAATGGGTGTTCACTTGTGAGTCGGCCTAGCATTTCTGATACCTCACTTGCTCCTCTTCCCACCCCTACTAAAGCTGAGCACACAGGCTCACTCACCTGGGACCACATGATGAATGAATGGCTGCATAAGTGAGCTAGCTACCTGCCTGGCAAACTCCTATTCAAACGTCAACGTCCAGATCAAATAGTCACTTGAGGTAGGGCGGCTGAACAGAGGAAGAAGAGAAGGAGGGAGGGAGGAAGGGGCCGCATCCCACCAGCCCAGAACTCACAGGTCGCTGGCCACGGACGAGTTCCTGGACATTGCCTTGGGCGAGAGCTCGTAGTCGCTGTCTGAGCGGTACAAGAACGACTCACGACGCTGGCTGTGTGGGCCGGAGCTTGGGCCTGCCCGGCCCAGGCCTGAGTTGGCCTGAGGGTCCAGGGCGCCCCTCCCGCACACGAGCCCATTTTCCAGGTCAAAGCTGGAGGAGGCAAAAGAGACATGGTCAGAGCCAAGGGTCCCTGAGTCAAGGGTCGTCCACTCCCCAGGGCCATGAGGGTGTAGGCCTGGCTTGCCCACTTGAAAGTCCCCCAGTGACTGGGCACCTCTGGTACAAAGGAGGAAACAGACCCAGGTTACTGACCAGTTTCTGGGTTCTAGTCCCTGGAGGGGACCCTCATCTTACCTGGCCCCTTGGGCTCCAGGGATTCCTACTACCTGGAAGCAGTCTTGCCCTACCCCCTCCTACAGTACGCCCCAGGCAGCCAGACACACGCCCCACCTGCAGGGCCTCTTCTCCCTTGCTCTTTGCACCCTACCAGTTGTGCCCCAGCGGGGAGCCTCCTCCTGGGGTCCCAGGATCCCCTGCCCTGGTCAATCCCCACTCTCACTCTCCCAGCTCTGCTCGGGGCTCCAGCCACATCCTAAGTAGGCAGGGTGGTCTATGAGCCCCACCTTGGGGTCCCAGGATGGAGATGAATAGAGGGCAGGCCATGGGGCCAGTGGGCACAGGTGTGAAGGTGGGAGCAGAGGAGGGGCTGTCTGTGGGTCACGCCCCTTTGAGAAGGAGGATGGTGGAAGTGGCTAGACCTGCTGGGCACAGGAGCTGCCCAGAACTCGTATCTCCTGACCAAGGGTCAGTGTCTATCTGGTCCCTTGTTCGTGGCCTTTGGGCCAAAGGCCACCCCTTCTCTGTCCCCGGTTTGGGGTCATCTTGCTGACAGAGAGCTGCGGATCAGCTTGGATTTCTTCAGCTAGGTCCCTCCCGCTTAGGCCGGTCTGGGCACCGCTCCAGCAGAGGTGGGGCACATTTGGCCCAC